CTGCTCAACATAAGTCTCCCTCTTGGAAGGTTTTGTCAGTAGTTGCCACGATATAACTATATTGTTAAATGTATACAATGTTGTTCTTATTTAAGCTATTTACGTAAGATAATGTTTGTAAGATTAAACACTGCTAACCACTTATTTTAACTAATTTTAAAAATGGCTATATGCAACCTTGGCGGTCGATGATCTTTGTTGTGTTGTGTCTCTAATACATACACAAATAAAATTCTTGAGGCCATGTTTTGCGCCGTTGTCTCAAATACTGTTTAATCAGTTGGTTCTTATAGAATTACGACTATACAGAAATATACGTATGGACAATTTAATTTTATAAAGTACGTAACCGAGGAAATTATTACGGTCGAGTAGAGGCGTGACCTTGGAACATTACAACTTCTATTATATTATTCACTGCGTCTACTAACTGTCTAACAACATTCAATCATTTCTTGATAAATTTCAGTACACTTAAATTTGCCTCTAATCAACACTAATTTACTTTTATCACGATAGATCAATTGAGCAATGGGTAAGGCAGTAAATTAAAAAATGTATCTACACATAGTTGAAACATTGAATATTAACTCAGTAATACTTTGAGCAAAATTATATTGTGGGGTAATAATATTTTGAAATGGGCAATAACATTGTAATGAGCAATATAAATATTTTGATAACGATTATAAATAAGAATTTATCACTAAAATTACTTGTAAAAAAACCCTACTAACATAAACATTTCATATTTTTCTAATTAATGCTGTACACAGTTTAACAATTTCATGAAGAAAAAATTTTTTACTTGTTTATATAGTGTCATTCATATAGGTAGTTCCGTTCCTAAGAACAAGTAGGTCATTCTGGCATTTTGCCTAGTTGGACACATTCTGTTTATTATCTGTTTAGATTCAATGTCATGGTAATGTATTCGTACTTATGAGCCATTGTCTCATTACTTTTTTTTATTTATACATTACTTTCTTTCTACTTTTTATTGTATTTCTTCTTATCACATTTATATTATTTCTATCTGAATTCCGCGGCTTTGATTGAATTAGGATGACAAATATCATATGCTATTTACGATATGAACCATCTATATATGAAATTTCATTCATATCAGTTCAGTCATTAAATTTCTATATTAAATTAAAGAGATCTGCGCGAGATAGGCCCCGAAAAATAGCTAGTTAATAAGTAATATTATTAAGACTTTTCATACTTATGTTTATCACGCTTTCTAAGGGACTGAAAATCATAAGTTGGTTAATTTCTTTTTTTTTTATACAACTTAGAATGGTAAACAAGCTGACGGCCCACCTGATGTAAAGTGGTAACCGTCGCCTATAGACATAAGCAGTACCATGGACATAACAGAGTATACTGTTTCGCCCATGATAACCCCCATGCGTTGCCATTTCTGAGGACTCAGGTGTTATTCCTCCGTACCCAGTAAATTCACGCCATTGATTCCGCCATTCACGCCATAATTGATTTTGTATAAGACGCGACTATCACCTACAGTCATAGAATTCAACAATACTAAGAACAGTTTCGAGAAGAAATCCCATGGTTTACTAACAGAAGAATAATATTTTTATTTTTTGTCAGACATTTTATTCTTTAGACCAAAATAGGTAAGTTAGGTAAGACGTATACTTAACACTACTCAAGCGAGGCACAAAACTCTACAATTACCATAAGAAGTAAAAGCAATGACGAAAATGTTATTCACCTTCCACCACTCTTGTATTTGCGAGCCATAATTAATTATACTTGCCGCTTAGCCGTGTGGGTGGTAGATATTTCAAATTAAATGTCTTTAATATCGCCCACAATATAAAACTAGTTTCGATACTGCATCTTATACAGTATGTTATAGTAACTTAAATTTATATTCACCTAATTTCATTTAAGAACATAAATCCTCGATGAACTATATTTTATTTAAAAAAATAAATAATCACTGCTAGGTATAATGACTTGTACTACATAACTATGCAATTATGTCTGCGCATTTTATCTCGACATATGGAAGAGATTTATGTTTTGGAAGACAAATATTTGATAATCAGGCACATACGACATTATAGAACAGACTTAACTGGTAAAGGTAACGTAAACATTGTAAACAAGTTTATGATCGCATCTATCTATCGCCACAATGTAATGAACAATGAAAACATTTAAGACATAGAGATGGTAGAGACAAGAGAAAGGAAAGGACTTCTTGTCCAGGTAGGTAGGTATATCTATAGATACTTAGGTGAAATTTTATTTATGACAAAATTTGAGTAAACATAGCTACAACCTGCTACAACATACAATGTATTAAATTACAGTCTAGATTTAGTATTTAAAGTTATTTAAGAAGGCAAATATATTATTCATTATCTCCATAATTGCTTGCATAAATTATGCTAAAAATAATCTAAAACGAGATCTATTTATGAACCAAATTTTATGAAAATCTGTTAAGTAGTTTAATCATTATTAATAAATAAACATTCAAAAACTAATTTTAGTACAATATAGGATCACTGTTGAAGTATTTTATAGGTTACTACTAACTTTATTCTAAATAAAAATGTTTTCAGTATCGTGACGTATCCCAGTCTTAAAGTTTCGAATACTAGCATAGTCATTAGCGTATATTACGTAAGTAACACATCTTTTGGTTATTCAACGAGTTCATCATCAATCATCAACGTATGGAAGATAATATGTATACCTTTAATACGAAATATTATGAGTATTATCACATGGACATACGTATGATTCATCGGTAATAAACACAGATGGTGTTTTTATTTACCTATCTTTTCTGTACCAATGACTTCGCATAATATTACGATTAAGAATTCTACATTGTTCATCTGCTTTAAGCTACCTTTCTATTCAATTTTCATCCAACATTAGCAGTCCGTAAAACTATCAAACTAATATACAACACTACGATAAATGTATTAATAATATGTATACGTAAATTAGTCATAGAATATATTCGACTATTGATCTTATGTAGCAATGCTTAAAAATAAAATATATCACATATTAAGTAGTTCAGCCAATGCCTTCATTCTCACATACTTGATAAAATAATCGTTTCACAGTTGACTCTGCTCGACTTTTCACGGTCATTGTAATGTTGAACGCACACACGTTCACACTTTACGCCAAAGTTGATTTGTGTATGTACCGACGTGTATCTCCCTCCACAGAAATGCTTCGTGGACTACGTCATTCATGTTACATAAAAGGCCACCATTTTATGGACGTGAAATCAAATGCAAAATATTAACACACGGATTGGAAATTACCGGTTTTATTTAAATCAAATCTAAAATTTGATAACGGAGAGATAGATTCACTAGTCTATTTCAAACAAGTTTTTGTTTGGCTGGACGAACGTTTTGTATACCTTTTTATCAATTATATTATTACACTACCTTGTAATTACAATATTAAAATTGCACCGCATAAAACAGTAACTATTTGGACACTATCCTATTCTCTGATATAGAATGCTATAATCTTGTAAGGCCCTCAAGAGTTGCAACTAATGCATATCTCAGTAATGCACGTGATTCTAATAATTTAATTTAGTTCTATTTTAACCTATAAGTCATTGTTATCATCGTTACCCTTAATAAAACTCGCCACGTTAAATTCGAATAAACCCTCAAACAATATGGCCACATTAAATATTACATTGACTGGAATGACGTTGGCAAAATACTTCTAAATACCACAGAAAACTCTCATTTGAAATTATAGTCGTAATAGCATTTACATAAAAAAGTATTTTCTATAAATATTTCCGGAATCAATGCCTTCCGATAATTAGACTAATAGTGTTTGACCTAATTTATTACCACGAAATTAAAAACATGATGGAGCCCATCTTATAATAACAAAGATACTTATCTTTGTCAATAGAAGACAAAATATTACGGCTGATCTACGCAAATTAACATCTTATTCCTTTAAAATTCAAACTAATATACACATCGCCTCATTTTCTTTGTACGTGTTCAATTATATCGAATGCTGATGCAACCAACATAAACATATTATTTTAATGTATGTTGAGGCGAGATGACATTTACCTACTTACGTATTTACAATTAAACATTTCTATGAATAAGTATGACATATTAATGTATGACACAGATATTTTTATACCTAGTAATTCATCTGAGACGTGACATATCGGCATCACTCTAAAAACGATTAAATTTTCGCGTTACGTATCTCGAACATAACTAGTACAATCTTTCTAAATGAAATTTATAAGTAAATATTTCATTTACCACTAAATAATACGTATAAAATTTTATAAAACAAATTAATTATATAATTTTTCAACAGAAACATGAAAACGTGTTTACAAAAGTATAAACGAATCCGAAATGTGTGATATTGTTCTTGCTTTATAACAAAAATAACAGTTATACAAGTATTATTAGTAGGTATTAGTAATAAATAGTTATAACTGATACAGGTGACGACTATATAAAAAGTACTTAAGTATTTATTTGATTTATTTACGTTTTAACGAAATCCATGAATGTTCAATAAATCAACATACATGAAATTGATCAACACAACATTAAATTGATTTCGACTCCAAAAATCTAACTCAATAGACCTCTTTTACAGTAAAAAACATTAATATTTTTATATGATAGGTTTATACCTTTGAATATTTCCTTTTAACCCATCTTTAATTTCTATTATTCTATTTGTAACGAATATTCTTATTGAAAATGTATATAATTAAATCCATCTTGATGTAATTATAGTGTTTTAATAGTGTGGAAGATAAATATCAACTGTCACCTGCAGTATGCTACAAATACGTTAAGTATAACAAACATATTCAGTATTTAACATAAAAAGCTATTGAAGCTCTTTATATAAGATATATTTTTTGAATTTTGTTTAAATGACATTCTAATTAATTAATTATAGAAACAGATATAATTACTCACCCACAAGTACAGATTTCGCATATGCACTGCTCTTTAATAATTGTCTTTTCTGGTTTCTTGGGGCCACCATGTTTTGGTCTTGTCTCATCAATAATGACGGTCTCCTCGATCGTGGTCCTGTCATCTCGCACGGTTTTTCTATCGTCGATGATGGTCTCATCATAGACGGTGCTGACAGTGGTGTCCTTCCTTGTGGTATCAGTGATGGCACGGTCTACCACGTCGTATTCCCGTATCTCGTCTTTCGTCGTATGGACATCTCGCTAAAATAAAAATAAAAGCAATGTAGCTTCTTTCAATTGGAAAATAAATTAGTTTAAAAGATTATTTTATTACAGATAACTCACCAAGTTTTTGAAGTCTAACTCGCTCTTATCGACGAAAACGTCAGTTTTAATTTTTTCATCTTCTTTTGCATCTTCGTAAGTCGTTATTTTTCTTGTAACACCATTTTCCGTAATATATCGAGTGACCTCTATTTGGCTTCTATTTTTTTCCACTTCAAAAGACTTTTTGGTAACGTCTCCGCTGCTGGTAGTTAACACAGTAGTTTCTTCAGTATCAACACCTTCATATAAATCTTTAACATCTTCATTAATCTTTGTACCAAATGTCACTTTCTCTATCCTTTTGAACGGATATTTCTTTACGGTTTCGATAATTTCTTTTAATATGCGATCATCGATATTTCTGTTAATTACGATGTTTTTATTACTTACAGTAACATCCTTCTTATATTGCGATGACTCTATGATTTTCCGTAGGTCACTTATAGATGTAAAATCTTTAATGTCTCTGGATGATAAAATAATATTTTCTTCAGTGTCTTGACGTTTTAGGTGATGTCGCGGCTGCTCGGGTTTTCCAAAAGGGGACATTTCTTTTGGTTTCTTTGGGCGGTCATCATCTTTTTCATAAATAAACTTTCCGTTCCATGTTCCTGTACTTCTTTCATAAGTAGTTAATGTATCTTTTGTTTCGGAAGTTGAAGACGACTTCGTTTCTTTAGAATAATTCTGTTTCTCTATAGTTTGTTTTGTTGATCGGTCGATTGATGTCAAGTCGGTGGTATTTGTTACATCAGTAATGTCTTTAGTACGTGATTGTACATCGGATAATGTAGATTCATAATTAGTAGAATCAATGTCTCGATCAGTTGTATCTTGAATACGTTTATTCAACACATCATCCTTTGAAGTATGCTCCGATATTGCTTGTTTCTTAGTAAAATCACCCTCATAAACATTTTTTGTGGACGCAATTTCCTTTCCATCTTTAATCAAAACAGATTCTTCAGTTAAATATGTGGAACTAGTAGGTTTTCCATTTTTGCCAGTGTCATAATGAGATTCTTTGTCCAAAACATGGCGACTATATTCATTTTGTGGTTTTATACCTGTACCACTGATATTGTGACTCTTTTCATAAGTAGAATGATCTTTACTATCTCCCCATTCTCTGTGAGAACTGTCAACAATTTTTTGTTTTCCATCTACAACTTCAAATACATAAGAAGAAGTAGACGCTTGTTGAGCACTGCTTGTATTGCTTTTCATAATTTTAGTTGAAAAGTTAATATTTTCCGTATTAGGAACTTGTAAGATATCGCCAACTTTCTTTAACTCATTTTGTATAGTAGCGTCATATCCATAAAAATTTGATGAATCAGTTACATTTGCATTGCGTCGTTTTTCATTTACAGTCTCTTTGTTGGTTGTTACATTTTTCACTGTATCTTTATTTTGTACAGCATTATAATCTTTAGAAGTAACAGTTGAAAACTGATCATATTCTTGAGAAGTAAGTTGACCTTGAGTAGAGCTAAACTGTTGATGCTTTTGATCATTTCGTTCCGAAATAACACTCTCATGAGTAGTTATTTCATTTCCATCCTTAATAAATTTAGAGTCTTCTTTTACTATCATTTCGTTAATAGGTTTTTTTCCATCTTTTCCTGTATCATATTTAGATTTCATATCATAATTTTGGATACTATGAGATGACTGAGGTTTTATATCAGTTCCACTGATGCTAGCATAAGCTTCTCTTGACGCTTGTTCTTGAGCATCGCCCCATTCTCGCTTTGAACTGTCGATAATGCGTTCTTTGCCATCTACAATTTCTACTACATATGAGGAGGATGACGACTTTGTGACGTTACTGCTCTTGCTCTCACTTATTTGAGACGTGCTACTAATTTCCTTCGTTTTTACATTTTTGTCGAGGCTATGTTCGCCTCCATAAAAATTTGAGGAATCGGATTTAGTATTTTGGACTCGCTTTGAATGTTCAGGCAAATTTTCATAAATTACTTTCTCGCGCCGGTTAATATTTTTCCCATCTGTGTTATTATTTATATTATTTATCACTTCGGAACTTTTAGCACTTGATCGTTGAGTAGATTGTGTATTACTTATATCTTGGCGTTCGGATTGAAGAAAAGAACTGGTAGCATTAGCAGTTTGTGATCTTGACATAAAACCAGGATTAGCATGCGTAATATTGCCTTTAGAACTGTCTATGAATGCAGTATTAAGCGTTTGATTAGCTGAAGAATCCACTGTTCTATCAAATGATTGACTATGACTAGAACCCGAATGTTGAATGGAACTGGAGGAAGTTTGAAAAGCTTCGCTCTTAGAACTTTGTTGATGTGAAGTAGATGATTCTTGTAGTATAGAACTAGACACAAATTCACCAGTCGTCGCTTGAGACATGTCGCTTACGTTATGCTCTTGTGATCGTATCTGTGACAAGTCTGTAATCGACGGAGCTTCAGTAATAATGTAGTGCGGGTGGCTATTGTAGTGCTCGGATATAGTTGAACCACTTAACGAAGCATGATCGGTTACATCAGTTATCATAAGCGGGTCATCTTCCTCAACCTTTACCTCAATATAGCGAACTTTTTTCCCAGACGAGCTGACCTTCTGTAATGTGTTGCTACTCTGTTGTACAGACGTTGATGTACTACTCTTCTGAACACTGCTCGATGCACTAGTACTCGATGAGGTCACTTCCGAGGATTTAGATTGTTTAGTCTTTTTATTTTTTATTGTCATTTTGATGTCACCAATAGTTTAAATAGACAAACTTAATAATCTTAAATTATTTTATATGAGATTCTTAATTTACGATTAAATATTTTAAATACGAGTCCTACCTAAATTAAAAATTATCACATACTATAGTCAAACAATTGCCTTGTAATATACAAATGGTCGCGAGAGTCGTTCGTGTCGTGTGTCGCTTGCGTGCGCGCGCGCTGCTTGCGACTGACTCGCGGATTCTGTCTGAGCGTGCGCCGGCGCCCCCGTGAGCCGTGCCGTGACACCTTGACGTCGCGCCGCACCGCCGCCGCAGCACGTCGCCCACCAAACCAAACCTTCGAGACACGTAAGCGCTTACATCTCATAAAGCCTTTCATACCAAAAATGGTTTAAAAGTTGCCATCATAATCACAACGTTCAAGAATAAAACGATGATACTTATTTATTCTTAGTAATAACAATTAATTGTAAAACAAACAATACAAAGTACCTACGTATGTTGTAAGTAGATAAGTCGGTAATAATAAATTCTCGGAATCGGAATAATAATATTGAAAGGTATTTTGTCCAATATATAATTAAATTCGTATGCAAGTATAACCAATATAGGTCAATAATAATAAAATAATACTGAATAATTAGGTATTCAGTTTCGAATCACGGGAGTTTTAATTGTAACATAATGTAATATAACTTATGATAACCGCATAAATGTAAGTAGGTACCTAACTACTCGTATAAATTCATATTCTGTTTATACATACCAAAGAAAATTAATTCTTACCTCATTATTCCCTATCTGCTAATAATATATATATGAAAGTTAATTTATTTGTTTATTAATTCTTGGCGCCCTAACAGTTCAACTTATTATATTGGAATTTGGCATAGGTGCCAACATGTATTATTTTAAGTAAAAAAATGGAAAAACATCCAGATTAATTTGAAACAATCGGAAATGATAAACATAGCAATTTCATTAAATTTCCATTGTAAATAGTAGGCGAAGAAAAAATATAATAGGTATAATACCAGATTTCCTCAAAGAACATGGTGGACAAAATTTAACCCATTATTTTATATAAGTATTTTTGAAACAGAAGCCATTTGCATAACCGTTTTATTTATGCAATCTATGTTAGTAATTTTTTTTTTTTAATATTGTACACAAATTGTCAATAAGTTGTCTCGTCTTGTCTATTTCTAGTGAATGATAATGGAATGGTAACCCCGCCTGCGCTATCGGTATACGCTGACGAGGCATTAGTGAATGACGACAGATGAGGTTGAAAGCAGATCAGTTAACACTTTGTGACGGATTATTAGATGAAAATGGAATGGTAACCCCGCCTGCGCTAACGTTGGATACGTTGGCGAAGCACCAGTGAAGAGTGATAGATGAGAATAAAAACAGGCCAGTTAGCCCATCATGATGAATTCATCAGGAATTAACTATGATAGTTTCCAGCATGAACCGCGAGGAGGTCGACCTGGTTAGGTATATTGCTAGCAATGGGATTCTTAGTTTCTATTACTAACAATCCCTTCCCCCCCCCCTTTGTGACGGATTTTACCATTACCAACAATCCCTCTCCCTTTCGCCCCTAATATGGGTGACGGGGTGCCCTGGTTAGCGCATAATGCTCTATACGTATTCTTAGAGAAGCAATGAAGAAAGATTTGTTGGTTTAAAACAATGCTCGATAGTGCAATTTTGTTACATTATTTATTTAACCTTACCTGAAGTGAGTCAATAAGCTCGATATCGGAAGAGTAGGCTGGCGAGTTGGTGGATATTGAGTAGGTAACAAGCAAGTGACACAGAAATTAGCATAAGGTTATGGAGCTGTGGCCAACCTCCAATTCCAGAAGCCAGTCTTGCCATCGCTATATACTAAGTAAGTATAATTATTTAATACATTATATTTTCAACTGAAAAGTTTTATCTATTGCCTTCTAAAGTGAAAATAATGTATGTCATACATATTTGTAGAACAGGCTATGTAGGCTTACATGATTATTTAGCATATAGGTCTGTATTGTAGTAGACAGAATAAATATTAGTTTTATAGTTCCTTTTAAGTATTATCCACCGGAAGGCTTACTAAGGCTATCATTCTTTCTGCATATAACCGAGTATTAGTTTTAGGCTTGGATTATGAAGTATGTAGTACATTATACTAAGTCTATGGTTACAGGTGTATACCTATTCCTATCAATTTATTTGTTTCATTGACCGCTGCTATTTCGTCGACTGCTAAACGATGGAAAGATACAGTTGTTTGAGTGTATAATGATTATATTATGATTATCAGTCTTGTAACTACCCACTGCTGAACATAACTCTTCCCCTTGAGGGGTTTTGCTAGTAGTTGCCACGCTTGGCAGACGGATTGGCAAACGCAGTTAGGTTTTAGAGATGTTTTAAGAGGGACTCTGCTATGAATATGATAATTCCTGTATTATTAAACTTATCGTTAACTACCTAATTGCATATAATACTTACTATGCCATTCCTGACGTCTGATAAAGATCTGATAATCCCCAAAAATATTATCATTTATATTTAATATTATATATTATATTTCAATAAATATTAGATTATAGTCAGACGCAGTACTGGAAATCTAAACCTTATTTAAAACTGCATAGATTTAAAACTGCATACACGTCGGGGTCACCAATGTAGTTGTTCGGAGAAAATAAGTATAACAACTAACTTTGTCTATTTACATATATTACAGAAGGTAAATATTATATACAAAGGAGAATGAAGAAAATAATATATAAAAACGAAAATTAGAAGCGTAAGAGGCGAGCAATCGAGATGGAGAGAATGACAGCAGAAATGAATGTAAAAAATAAACGTCGCTGTCATGTCTGTACGACCAGTTCGAAAGAAAGAAAGAGGTGAAATATCTATGTACAATTTAATTAATCTACTTGATGGAAAAGAAAATAATGATGTTGACAAGTGGCTATGAGATGAATATTTACAATATTTATTTACAGACACCACACTAGCAATAAAAATCAATTTAGATATTTATGAACTATTTACAGCTTACATTTAAATACATATTAAAGACGTGGTGCACAAATAATCACAATAAATACACGGAATTGACAATACGCTCTTGTCAGAAGTAATTACATAATGAAGTCAGAGTCTGATGTCATCTGCATCACGATATCTTGTTATTTCTTTCTGTGACCGCCGTTCTGATAAATTCGTAGGAAGGATGAAATGAACTTGGTCGATCCATCGCTTAGAAGACCGTCTACAAAGTTTACTCGTACCATCCACTCCAAGTACAAAGAAGAAACATTTCACTACATTGTTAAATATATAATTGTAAGTGTAAAAAGTATATGGTGATTATACAATTAAGAATAAATAAGATAAATCGTAAGTATCTATTTGTCATTTGCGCAATGTTATAGCAATTCTATTATATGTAATTTCACTAAATTATAATTATAAATAAAATTAAATTCAAAATATCTTTCTTTTTTATTGTACCTGTGTACACACCAATCACCTGATCCTCAATTACTTAATGTCGATAAACATTATCGTTTTTTGGGAGAATTATTTACAGAATGATATAATTTGTACTCTATTATTAATTAATTAGCACTAGGATACCTAATATTTCCCAGAAAACCCAGACCACAGATAATATAATACTATTGCAGACTAAAGCCAATTCAGAAAAAATCGTTTGCTAAATAGCTCGATCGACAATCGAACCCGGTATCTCATTTATGCAAAGCAACTTATCACGATTCCACCATAAAGGTTGTCGAATAATATACGAGTAAATCAATCAATTACTCGATTTGACTAGATTGTTTTGTTTGTCAAGGCTATAAATTCTTAAGATAGATATCTACAATTGTTATATATAAATATAGAAGAATTAAACAGTAGATACCTTTTTGAGCGAAAAATTATTCGATGGACCGATGCTGATAAACATACTAGTTATTTTACCTTATATCTAAATACTGACTATTCAGTTATAGAATGTCAAATTTTATCATAAACTAAAAATTCGTCTCATTATGTTTTTTTATAACATTCAGACATAAATTACTTTTTAAAAGGTATATTTGGGTCTGCTTAGTTTTTTGTATTCACCCTATACCAGTTTTCATGCAAAAATTAGCACTTCTTCAACAAAGTGAAAATCTTAATGTCATTAGAAAGATCTGAGATAAAATGCACTTATACTTCTGTCTGTAGAATTTTCTTGAATTCACAAAATTTGCAATATCAAACTGCCAACAATGTTGATGTGGGTTTCGCGAGAGGTTCTGACTATACAAGGCACGATTTAGGTGGGCGAGTCGCCTTTGAATCATGCTCCCACGTATTATTGTCTGCTGCAACCATCCACACAAATAAGTCAATTAATCATAGGTACGTACTATTACATGTAGAAAATAATAATATATCGCTTTTAAAACTGCTCACAATAAATTATAACGGTTATTTAATTCTTTTTTGTATGTATACATGAATGATAAATATATGAAAGTACTCAAGTACTATTGCGGAAGGTGGGGAGGAGGGTTTGTAAGTAATCGGTTTTAACAGCCCCATTGCCAGCAATATATCCTATTAGGTCGACTTACATGCGGTTTCTCCTGGAAATCATCGTGGTTAATTCTAGTGGAATTGTCACGATGGTCTAACTAACCTGCCTTTCATCCTCAGCAGTCATCCCTCACAAGTTCCCTGCCAGTGTATACCGATAGCGCGAGCAGGATTATCACTTCATTATCAACCATTAAAAAAGGGGGGGAAAGGGGGCTAACAATATACCCAACCAGGTCGACCTCCTCGCGGTTCTCCCTAGAAACTATCATGCTTAATTCCTGATGAATTCATCATGATGGGCTAACTGGCCTGTTTTCATTCTCATCTATTACCCTTCACTGGTGCTCCGCTCCGCCAGCGTATCCCGTTAGCGCAGGCGGGGTTGCCATACCATTTTCACCCATAAAAAAAAAAACCATTAAAAAGTACTCCAGCGATGAAGTACAGTATTTACTACCTACCTTGCTTTATTGAGCACGATGAGTTATTTAAGGATTCCGGGATGAGTGCCTTTTAAATTAAGTTCTGAGATAATTCAATTCTTAGGGCTGTTACTGAAAATTGAAAATTAAATATTTGCAAAAACCACCGCGCCAAACTTATAATATTTTTATAATTCTGATATATATATATATATATATATATATATATATATATATATATATATATATATATATATATATATATATAACCCCGCCTGCGCTAACGGTATACGCTGATGGGGCACCAGTGAGAAATGATAAGTGAGAAAGGAAAAGCAGGTCAGTTAGCCCATCGTGATGAATACACATGGAGGTATACACAATACACATGGTTTTCAAGGAGGACCACGTGGAGGTCGACCTGATAGAGTATATTGCTAACAATGTGACTGGCAGCCCGCATTGGTAACAAACCCTTCCCTCCACTCTGAGATATTAGTTTACGGTAACAGACTGCTAGTGAACAATGATAGGCTAGAATGAAGTCAGATTAGTCTATACATGACAATTTCACCCTGATAGTTACCAGGAGAGATCATCTAAAGGTCGACCTGTCTGGATTTATTACTAGCTTTTGCGGATAAAACGAATATGTAGAACACAATTTTAAGAAGCTGCTTTAAGATTTCCATTCTGTCATCGAAATCTTTATAAAGACTCGAAAATGAGAAAGGTAAACTAAAAAACCGATAATGGCTAATGAGTGTGTGAAATTATAATGATAATATTGATAATACACGATTTTGTTACCCGTTGAACCGTTGGAAAATAAATGGTGATTGGTATTGCTCTTATTCTATATTATATAAGTATACTAATAAATGAAACTTAAAATGAATGTAAGTATCGATCAAAGATTAAGCATTTAAATTTATAGCCAAAAAATATAAATTTGGTTTCAGCTCGAACTGTGAGCGACATCTAGTACACCACAGTATACTTATAAATACGAAATTGAAAAGTAAAATTTTAATGCTTTTCCATTTTTAAACAATTAGCGACATCTAATAGAAATTGCTTTTACAATTTACCATATTGAAGTCGGTTTCCATACATGTTATATTTCTGTGCTTTAAACTATAGAGGGCGGTACATGTATTAAAAGTCGATAGGCCGCGTGCGTCATCTCACTGCGCAATCAAGCACGGAAATAACTAAACAGCTGTTCTACAATATTCGGTCGGGCAACTCAGACATACAGCTCAGCAGCATCAAACAGCAGCTGTACGATCACGCTAGCCGTTTTCCTTGGAGTCGCGTTCGTGTTTGTTTGGACAGTTGCTTTCTCATTGTTGAACATATTGCTGTGTAGTTTGGACTGTTTTATCTTTCATTTTCGACGTATATTACTGCCGTACAGTATTGACGTTTAAAGTGTATATTAGAAAATAATCCGTAGGCTACTTTGGCGTTATGTTTACTAAAATTCATACTTCGTTGTTGTTGTGACTCTGTTTGAAATGCCTCCTGAATACGTGGACCGCAAGGAGAGTTCCGCAGTGTTATGTCAATAGAATCTGATCTAAATAGTGATTTTAGGTTATAATAGAAAAATATAATTATTGACAATGTCTAATACAGTTCCAACTAGTTCTGCCCTGAGGGCTTTAGCTTTAGAATACAAAAGTCTCCAGGAGGAGCCTGTGGAAGGCTTTAGAGTAAAGTTACTTGGAGAGGACAATTTGTTTGAGTGGGAAGTTGCAATTTTCGGTCCGCCGGACACACTGTACCAGGGTGGTTATTTCAAGGTAAGCATCAGCCTGATGTCACATGAACAATGACCTGGTAACACTAAGTAATTATGAGATTAGAGTAATATAAACAACAATGAGTGAGATTGTTAATTAAAAAATATACCTATGCATGCATTAGAGAGATGAAATTGTTGATTGTATAGGTAATCAAGTTTGTAGGTATGTACCTAGCTAGTAGTTTGTATACTGGATTTTATATACAACACAAATTTATTATGATGGTTAACAAATGGTTATCGCAACACATATTTATCCCTTTTATGTTACATGGATGATGAGGTGATAGCAAGATATACGACAACATTAAAACCTTCATTTTCTAACCTTTTTTAATCACCTTGTCCATGTACTGCTAAGACAGTTGATAAAATCAATCCACCTTTGTTGGTACTATGACTTTTATATTACAGATCATAACATTAGTACAGAAATAGTAAAATATATATTTTTTAAAGTTAACTAGAGGTAAATGTGACATAGAATTATTACATTTTTTATCACCTACCTAAATACTACTTGGATAGGTTGCTTAATCTTTTAACTTCTAAACAATATAGTAATTATTGCACATCTGACACTTGCCTCAAATCAGCAACAACCAATATATGGTTTGCATTTTTTAATATTTATTGTTATTATAAATTATTTAAAAATATTATAACTTTTTTTTATAAATTTTAACATATATTTTACTTTCTTTGTTAATGTATTTCTCAGCTGAAATAATAAGCTTTATTTCACAAAATAGTGTAAATAGATATTTATATATATGTATATAAGAGAAAGGGTATGAACTTGATATGTTTGTTGTTTCTGTCAATTATTTCTATTTCATCCAAAAACCTTTATCAAGAATAATTCAGTGAAATAAATTGTCAGAATCCTAGTTAGCTATACATTTATATAGATATAATAAAAAAATTAACATAAGTTTTAAATATAGTTGGAAATAGTTACTTTTTTTATTTGTTATTTTTCTTTTTATCTGTAACTATTTTTTTTTCTGCTACTTCATACACAGAAGTAGGAAAATCAATTAAGTAGACCATTTCTAGATTAAGTATCAAGATAAAATATAAACCAGTTTTTAAGTTAGACCTTCAGAAATACAACTGTTAAAACCATATCTAATTTCATACAGTAATTTTTGTTGATGCTGGAATAAACAGACAGGTAAATAATATTTCTAAAAATGATTGTTTTGACTTCTGTTACTTTTATAAAGACATTTCATCTCATTTTTTTCTTAAATATCAGCTAGTTATATATACCAACATTTTCTACACAATAGTTACAATTTTATCATATTAGTAATATAATGAAATTGAGAGGGAGACTTTGTACAAAAGTCATTTGCTTGGGTACCTCTGTCCCATTCGCATTTCTACCACAAAGCAGTTGTGTTTGCAAGGTTTTGTTTCCGATTGAAGGGTAGGACAGGGTACAAAGGCATAACACCTTAGTCCTCAGGTATGGATGATATAATGGATGGGGGCTATCATGGGTGAAATAGATATATTGGCCATTATAATATTGGCTGAGAAAAACACAATGAAAATCTGTTAGATAACTATTACATTTTTAAGTCATAAATTTTAATCATTATACAGTGTTTGGATGTCTTAGTGACTGAAGGTAGCACCCTCACAGGACTAGGAGTTTAATAACATGAATTTTATAAATACAAAAGTATTACATGGTATGTACAAGATATATTCATTACCTGAGTCAACAGCAGCAGATAAAAAGTTATAATGGTACATGATATACCATTATAACATAGTAAAACACTTATTGTTAAACAAAAGACATTGCTTTGTTTGGTATAAGTCTGAAATTTTTAGAATTTCCTGTTTTTTGTAATTGGCAAAACCAAACCCGAATTTACTGTACAACCTTTTGACCTAAAAAGATTGAACCTTTTCATGCCTGCAATTGATGATTGTTTGATTTCCTTAAATGACAATAAACTTAACACCATAATATTTTGTTGTTAATTAGCTTGCTGCAAACCACTATAAATATATATGAATTTTATGTAATATGAGGTATTATCCTTAATCTATGGTGTAATATTACATCACTATCATTTTATTTATTGTCTACTGGAAATTGATATATTTTAATTTAAAATTTAATCTTTTAAATACATTGTTAGAATTCTTAACATAAAAATTTATCTAAGTACTTAAGTTTAACATTTTTGCCTAATTATTAATTATGTAGAAAATTTTAAACAAAATGAGCTTCTATATATGTTTCACTTCTGCTGAGTTTGTACTCGGCAGAAGTGAAACCTGTTGATTTTTAAAAGAATAAAATATTAAGTATTACTAGTTTTTATCCATGGCTTCATCCAGTTCGCCCATTTAATAGGGATATGTAAAAAAATAGCTTGAAACCATTCTCCATCCAAAATGCTATGTGTATTCCAAATTTCATAAACTATTAGGTGTGCCGTAATTTCACATTTATAATATCAGTGGCGTTAAGTACTTTGAAACTTAATAAATTAATTTCTGTAATATAATTAGTTTATTAAATTTTATATAGTTCTTTTTCATGATAAAGTTGTATAAAATTTCATTCAAATCCGTTTAGCATTTTAAACATGATTAAGTATAAGAAATGTCTAAACACCTTTACTTATTTTGTTTGTAAAAATGTTTATTATATACTATCCTACTATTATATTAAATTATGATAAAGGAAAAGACATGCTAATGTAATAGTAGGTAAATTAAGTATATAAAAACATAATTGATTCTTTTTGTTATTGTCGGTCTATCTGTTGATGCGTCATCCAGCAATATGAATGATCTGATTTCAACGAAGTAATCGTATTATATTACAGCAGTTACGTACCTATTAGCCCAACATAAAACAGCTATATGTCGTTGTTCTACATTTGATTTACATAATATATTTTAAAATGGCATCCTTTGTTGTTTCAGGCACATATGAAATTCCCCTCAGACTATCCATATTCACCACCTTCAATTAGGTTTTTAACAAAAGTATGGCATCCAAATGTATATGAGGTAAGTTCTTCTATAATTATATCTTAGTTATATATATTTAAATAAAATTTAAATGACTTTTGTTTCTATGGAAGGTTTTTTTTAATGTGTGATAATGGAATGGTAACCCCACCCGCGCTATCGGTATACACCGGCGGGGCACCAGTGAAGGATGATAGGTGAGGATGAAGCAAATCAGCCCATCGTGACGAATTCAATAAGAATTGTTCACGATGGTTTCCAAGGAGAACCACGTGGAGGTCGACCTAATAGGGTAAATTAACAATAGGGCTGTCAATCTCCATTGCTAACAATCCCTTTCCCCCCTCTATGGAAGGTTAGGTATAGAATCATTTATCTTAATATTTTAAACTTTCTGAACAACACTAGCTGGACTATGCATGGCAGTGTTATAGAATTTATTGCTGCAAGATTTGAATAATTTTACAAGCTAAAATGTACCTATTCATCTACCTATATATAAATACCTGTCTTAACGTTACTTTCATATAACGCATCTATATGCGTTTAATATAACCGCGAAATTCCATAGTAGGCTATATATTTCACTAGGCCTCAAATTGTCCATTCCATTTATAGTTATTAATGAAAATTTCTTTATAAAAGTTGATCATCGATGAATTATTAATTTATTTATTAAACACAAGGAATACATAACATGAGTACCTACATTGGACCCCGCTCTAAGCGAACCTGTATCGCGAGAATTCATAAAGGGATTATCAAAACACAGTGTTTTACAAATATAGATAATATATAGGAATATAAACTAAGACATATTTACATTTTATAAATACTTGCATAAAAATAGATTTACAGTCTGACGCGACGGCGTAAATGCAAAACATGAGTAGGTACTTACTTGGTTTTGTTTAGGAAGCTTTCAATCTTCCTGAACTCAATCATGCTAACTCCACGAAACATAGAATCTTACTAGTATGGTTATACAGATAGTTCCTCCCACACAGAATGAACTGTTAATTTCTTTAGATTAAAAATTTTCTATTCCTATTTTTCTTATACAAACTATGTAGGCTCATTTAGCATATTAAAAATAAAAATAAAAACTTAAATAATTTTTAACACCGTAATAGTTCTCTAGGACCAACCAAATTCTATTCACACTTGCTACATTACTATTTTGCATATAAATGTTGCTCACGCAATATACCCATACCATTTGTATTATACCAGACTCATACCCGGAACTAGAGGAGAGTTAACCGGAACATAAAGTTGAGGAAATCCAATTTCATGATACAAAATGTGAAAATCCTATTTGTTGAAACGGTGTCATAGCTGATATTTATCTACAAGATCAAATATATGTACTATTCTGTGTTAAATGTATATCATTGACGTTATACAACTACTCGTATTTTTGGGAGCATTTAAATGGTACTGCTTTCTACATATTTTGTTACTGTCTATAGCAAAAATGATTGTACATAATTACTTATGATATACATAATTTAACTAATTAAATTTATCGTGACATTGAAATGGCATTGATGTTATTACATATTTACATAATTTATTTAATAAAAAACTTCCATTGTAGCTGGTAGCAAATTTAGCAATAATGCTGGAAGGAGGTACGTGACATCACTTTAAATTTTTTACTTGCATAGACTATGAACTATTATAGTTACGTGTCTCATTCAACTCATTAAAGTCAAATACTAACTCGAAAATCGCACACTTTGTATTAGGTATATTATGATAATAGTATAAAGGAAGTTAAACAATTATCAATGTGAGGTGTGCTTGCAATGGTGGCCTTCCACAAATTAGCTTTCAGGAAGTAACAGAGCCAAAAGAGGACAACACCAATCCAGTCTGAATTAATGCGTTGTAGACTTCAAATGCTGATTTATTTTAATGGATGGTTCTTGGCACCCCTATTATTTAAAAAAAAAAAACTATTTACTATTTTAGAAACTATTTTCTTAATAAATAGTTAAAAAAAAAATACGAACAAATCTTATATCTCCAAATCAACACATATATCATAATAAAATGCGTAGCAAAAATAATGCGTATGCGCATGCGTAGAAAAAATAACATAGACTAGCTATAAAACTCAAATCATCTATGTTCGCAGTAACACAAAATGTCTCTAGTTTGATTAAAATAATTAGTTATAACTAATAGTTTATTCCAACTGGCTCTAGAAAAACAACACATTTTAATATCAGATTTCTTGTGTTTTTATAAAATCGAATTCTATTGATATATATTACGTATTCAGTATAATCTACATACTTATCAGATCAGAAAACTAAACAACAAAATGTATACTTATGAAAACATTGAAGACATTAATAAAAATATTCAATACATAAATAAAATAGTCAATAGTACTCATTCACTCTCACAATCTGCTTACTTTAAGGGCAAATTAATGCTGTATTATACAGTTATCAGAATTTATAAATGTCCTTTATATAACGAGAAATATTCAATGTATTTATCATATAGTCTAATCTATGTCCTTAGGTAAGTAATAAGGCTATAAGATATAATTTATTATTTTAAAAAAACTAATTGTCATGTTAATGATTGTTAATGATATGATGATACATTCTCTTAGTAACAATATTATTAAATGTAAAGTTTGTAGAAATGTTTGAACGTTTAGATATAATGCTGACAAATTTTATTAAAATTTAGGATACGGGTAGACAATATCATAATCATCATAATTTAACACACATACATACATACAAATCGCGTAAACAATTTGTGTCAAAATATCGCTATGTGTGTGTATTTTTTTTACTAAGAAGCGTTATAGGCTGTTGTTATAGTTGCGACTGCAACTAAATACCTACCAAACTGGAATTGTTACTGACCATTCAACGACCAGAAAAACAACACATTTTAATAACAAATTGCTCGTGATTTGTGTGAAATCGAATATTGTTCAGTATATTATACATTCAGCATAATATTCTTATATCTATTACCAGCCAACAGAATATTTCGAAATTATATTTCAGAAATATTTTCCTCTTTCACATAAATTGTGATAAAGTACATTAGGAAAAATTTTGTTAATAATAAGAAAAATATTACTTATATTAATGGAAAGGGTACAACTTGATTTTATGAAAGCACAACTGTATAAAATTAACTTGTACCTTTTTTCTTTTTAAGCTAGAAGTGTGAAGATATCTGTACAAATAACGAAGTAATTTCCTTACAAAAGAGTAAATTATAATATAATTAGAAAGATAATATTTTATAAAATATAAAATAGTGGTAGTAGCAAGTCGCTTAATCTCAAACATCAAATAAATGTTTCTTAAATTTTTTTTTTCTTTGTATTGGTTCAATTCGGGTTATGACCTTTTACACGACTAAGTTCTGATTTTTTTATTATATCAGAATACGTTAAAAATTATTACATTCTTTTACACGAAATGGTTTCTCTTCAATACTACATGAAAATAGACAAAAATCAAATTGGGACCATTTTTATGTGATAACTGCAATACATGTAATGTACAATTCAATTAATTTTATAACTATAAAAAAAAACTAAAGTAATTTTTTGACATTTACAATTAACATCTAATAAAAACACTACCTATTTTTTAGTAAGAATAGTTTTTTTTTTCTCTCCTGAGAATTTGAATTTGAATAATACCTTTCTCACTTGGAGCTCAGAAAGTGAAAATACCCACATAAAAAAAATTATGATTACAATCGGGCACGTATTTTGTCATGTTTGTATTAACTGCTAATTAAAAGGGACAATTACAATTTTGTTTGGGAAATACTAACGCCAACTTTGCCTCATAATCCTGAAAATAATGTCGATTAGCATTGTTCATTGTTTACTTCGTATTGTACCTACGCAATATCTCCCCTTGCTAGAATGTTGCGCCACTCTCTTGGCGGGTTGACCCCCGCCTGCGAAACATTCATGCTGCATCGCGGTTTGACCCACTTCAACCATTTAGATACATAGGCAATAACAAACTATTTTACTTTAATATCATTGAAATAAATAATTATTTTTTAACAATTATTAAAAAATATAAGCCGGGGAAGTAATTATGATCTTACGTTTACAATCACTAAACCAATATGATATATACGCAGCATTTGCTCTCCACTTAGCATAGCAATATTTGCAGTATAGTATTATGAAACTATTTTTACAAGCTCTGTATAAATGTCCACCATTAAAGCAAATAAAAAATTATGTTATATACAGGATCGAATTCGTTAGAGGTAATCTATACATATTAGTATTTTTTTTTTATTGAGAGAAATTTCGTAAACGGAAAATTTTAAGACAACAAAAAACTTCGAGTCTCTCATACTAACACGATACGTTCAGCTGTTGATTAACTCAATTAAATTATTATTTATTTGTTGTTTTTCGACCCTTTGGCGAAAACGTTCAATTATTAAAATAATTCCTTCGATAGTTTCTAACGATTTTAAATTCAACCTTTATTATATAATATATTTCCTTGTAAACAAAATTCAGACTTTTTCTTTGACTAACTGAATCTGCACCTCATACAAAGAAAGTATGGCTTGTTACTCCTACATACTACAACAATTAGTATATTAGTTTTATAAAGCAGTTTATTAGTTATATATATTTATTTTTTTTATATTAATATTTATTCATCGCAAATTCAAACTAGTGTAAATGTGATATAACTCGGGGACATTTACTGTTTACTCGTATAAGTTCGTTTTTACATCAGATGTCTCTAGCCGGTTATACGGTTTTCGCGGGATCGGAACATTACCGTTAACTTTTAGAAGTCGGCAGTGACGGTGACGGTGAGTCGTCGGCACAAAATAATATAATGAAACAGTCGGGTCATCAGTCCAAACTTGTGATTCATGTTTATATTGTGCCCACGCCATACAAACGCTTGATTCTTCCACCTCAATCTTACATGTAGATTGTACATTTATTAACGTTGATAAATTTATAGTCTGAGATAACCAAGTAGCTAAATAGATAAATA